TTTTGTCGTTCGTCTTTTATGTTTCGTCACTTGTCCTTTGTCGTTTGTTACGACAAATATAAAAATATTTAAAAAATAAAAAAATTAATGAAAGTATTAAAAAATTAAAAAAAAACATTAAAAACTATTGAGTCGTTAAAGCTATGAAAATTTGTTGGAGGTGGACCTCTGTAGCTCAGTGGAAGAGCAATCAACCGGCAATTGATTGGTCCTGGGTTTCGAGCCTCAGCAGAGTTAGTCTCACATTTTTTCATGGCTTTAAATTTATTTTTCACATTAAAAACATTTTTAAACAAAACTTTGCCCCACATTCCCCTAGTTGGACACTTAAGGATACGTTGTTATTAGAGGTGTGCATTTAATTTAATCGAGTCAAACCGAACATTAATCGACTCGACAACAGAAAATTTGAATCGGAGATAATTCGGTCTACTTTCGATTCGAATCGGCCAATTCGAAGTTTCGACTTTCGAATTGCTCGACTCGATTCGATTTTCGAATAAATTTCGGCCAATTCGAAACACAACATACTGCAACACATCATAGCACATTACATAGAAATTCGAAAGTCTAACATCGATTTTCGAATTGGCCGACTTTATTCGAAAATCGAGTCGAGTTGAGCAATTAGAAATTCGAAACTTCGAATTGGCCGATTCGAATCGAAAGTAGACCGAGTCGAGTTGTGCAATTCGAACCTTCGAATTTCGAATTGGCAAGTTCGAATCGAATTTTCTCTCGATTCGAATTTTGCACACCTCTAGTTCTTATATTATGCATTTTTTCTTTAAATAACAAATAGTTACTGCTTGTTTGAGCACATCAATTAAAGGAGTTTTTCACGATTAAAAATCATATTAATTTGTTACAAATACTTGAGTATTTAATAAAATATAGTTAAAGCATTTTAATGAAAAATCACGAAAGCTTCAGTAGTAGAAAATAATTTTTTAATTGCTTACTGCTGGAAAATTGAATTAAAGCTTATTAGAAGTTAACCCTTAAACCGCACCCTGGGTGTGCGACACCCATATTCTAGCTTCTTACTCTAATATTTCGGTTAAATTCGTAAAAATTGAACATGTGTCGTTATTGGACGATACATTTTGTACTTAACTTTTTGTTCCGTGAGGGACATTAGTCTCCAAAGTGTCTTTGTGTATTTGATAACTTTATGAAGTTGTCGGCGAAAAATTTCTGCTTGTTTGACACCCAGTTTTTGGTTTAAGGTAATTTCAGTAGTTTTAGAAAACTCTTTTTTAATTATTTAAATTAAATAAATCATTATGAAACTTATTTTCCTTTAAAATAGATGTACTGAGCTATATAAGATAATTTTTCCAAAAGATAATATCCTATTCCAGCCTGGAGAACACACTTAAAAGTCCCCGGGTGTCGCACACCCAGTGTGCGGTTTAAGGATGGATTCGGCAGTGTGCGGTTTAAGGGTTAATAATATAATACTTAAATCTTATAAGTTTTAATATTTATGATTAATTATCAACAAAACTTTGTGCTACTCATTACGCTACTCGATAATGGTTGTATCTATAGTCGGACACTATGATTTTTAAAATAAAAGATAAAAAATCTTTTGTTTAAATATAATGTACAATAACACTACCTTTTTTCATAAAATATAAACTTCACACATTTGACCAGTATATTCTTTAAAGTAATTATCAGAATGCATTAAAATTTATTTAATAAAAAACACGAAAGTGTCCGACTACCGACACTATAAAGCCATAGTAATTCTTATGTGAGATCCTGCAAATCAATTTTCTTCATTGAGGTCTTATTTTAAATGTAATTACATATATTTACATACAAAAATATTTAAAATACTTTTTGCGTGATTAGTTTGCCTATACGCATGAAGTTACAAAGTTTTAATTTCAACGTTTTGCAAAAATTTGCATGTAAATATATTGATATCTCGAAAAAAGGATCAGCTAGGATTTTGATCTCAACGGATTATTACTTTTGATATATCATATGAGGAGTTGTATCGAAGAACTCGCTCGACGCTCGAACAAAAGGGATAATACCAGCCAGGTAGCAGTGAACGACCCACAGGCCCTCACTGCTGCCTGACTGGTATTATCCCTTTTGTTCGAGCGTCGAGCGAGTTCTTCGATACAACTCCTCATATATGATGATATATCATATATGATATCATATATGATGCAGAAACATTTCCAACAACCAGATTTTAGATCTATTTTTGTCAAACTTTTTTTTGGTTCAGGCGCAGTGTGTGTTGAGCTGGTCTGACCCTATTTATTAAAAATGGTGCTATAAATTTAAAATTTTATAAACTTAATATATCTGAATATATTATCAATATTTATAACTTCTGAAGTGATTCTGTAAATTAATATTTAATCAAAGTTTTAATTAACAATTATTTTAAATACATCTAATATATGTTAAAACATTATTAACAATATATAATTTATAATAAGTGAATTTGTTTAAATTTCGAATTTATATTCGAGTTTCGAGAACATTTTTTTAATTTGCATAACAATAATAAATGGAATATAGCGCGCGTAACATTTGCCAGTTACTAAATAGATATACTATTATTTAAAAAATACACGGAAAAAATAAGTCGCGGAAATTTTCCTCGACTTTGTTGAAGACTCTCGGATTTAGTGGAAAGTGTTTTAAAAATCATATTCACAGTTTTTGAAGAAATAGACTACATTTGAAGAAACTTTCCGCGACTGTCGAAGAAAATGAAGACTCCACGCGCATGTAACCGATTCCGCCACAGTCGCGGAAAATTACAAACCTGAATTTACTCTACAGCGTTCTAATTTTTAATTGACAGTCGCGGAAATTATTTAGAATTTTTTAATGTATATATTAATATCGACACATTGAATAATAAAAATAATAATAATCTTGACAATCAATTGTCATAAATTGTTAAAAAAAAAATGTTAAAAAAACAGTGTTTATTGGTTTTAACGCGCGCAACTTTTGTGCGCACCATTTTCCGCGACTCGTCGACGAAACCTTCTATGAAGTGTTAGAATAATTGCGAGACTGTTTTCCGCTACTAGGTTTCTAGAAAGTCCTCGACTTTTTTTGGAGAATTTCTGCTAAAATCGTAGAACATTTCTAAAAGTCTATAAAAGATTCGTTCATATCCGAGAGTCTTCGATTAGTCGCTGAAAATTTCTGCGACTATTTTTTTCCGTGTAGTCATCTTCTGGACCATTAGGCTAAAGTTTTAATAAATATTATTATAAAAAAAATATTTCACTTCTGGAATATTCAGAAAAAAGTGTAAGAGGAAATGAATAAACAATACAGAAAAATAGTACATATTAAACATAGAAATAAAATTTTTAGTCCATTAAAATTATTTTGTTTCAGAAATAAGGTGTATTTACATATATGTCAGTGAGAGAGTGCGGTGATTTATCTGAAAGACTATTACGCAACACCAATGATGCGGAGGATGCGGATCAAGGTGGAATGGCGTTCTCCTACAGGTATATGGGATCCTGAATTCTATTTTTGGTACAAAAATAGAATTCCCTGTTAGCCCAGAAAATTATCAATATAAAATATTCCCAAGCATTCAACACTTCATTTGAATATATTATATTATTTCTATGAATTACATTTTTATACATCACATTATTAGTATTTTAAAATTATGTAATAAATCTTTGATAGAACACCCAGAAAAAAGATATATATTTGACTCAGAGCCTATACGTACTAAACTTTTTATTTGTTTCGAATAAATTTTATTTGGAACAAATAAAAATTTTCTTTATGTCGAATAGACATTTTATTTGTGTCGAATAATTTTTTATTCAGAAAAAAAATAATTTTTCTGTATCCCTTTGCCGAAAGTACTGTCTTCCCGGTCTGATTTGGCTCCGGGAATAGCGACTTTTGTGGCCGGCTCGACAGACCTAACGAGCGCTCTGATTGGTTACAAGAATTTCAACACACGTACATGTTAGCATAGCAACCACACAAACACGTTACTTACAGAGCTCACGTTTTGAAAACAACTGACAGTCATCAAAATAATGCATGAAATTTCTTATTTTCTTTTATTATTTTTTAATTATTAAATATTTATTTGTAAAAGAAAATTTCTTGTTTACTATTTTTTAAATTTTACTTCCAATTATTTTTTACTTATAATTTTTTTTCATGCCCGCCCCGACCAGCTAAGTCTCGGTTTCGCCTCGACTTTGCAAAAGTCGGGCGGGCAACTTATTCAGCTATTTTATTATTCAAACAATAATTATTTAACGTACTTTCGGCTGGGGATACAGAAAAATTGTATACGACACACGGCCAGAAATTTGGATAACCTAGCGAGCGTGATATATAAAGCCTCGGCCTTATATATCACGCCGGCCAGGAAATCCAACTTTCTGGCCTAGTATCGTAATATACTATAGTCGGCTTTGAGACAAATATACATTTATTTTAATTATATTCGGTTCAAAAAAAATTTTTCACTGGGTGCATTTTATTTTCTTACATTTCAAAAATACACTAATGAAAATATATGCAATATAAATAAAAAATAAAGATTTATTTACCTAGGTATTTTTTCCCTTGTTCTATACGAAAATAAATAAAATATTCTAATTTCCAATTTTTATACGATTTCCGCTTTTCGTAATTTAAAATTTAATCCAATTTTCATATTCTGTATACTACTTTTAAATTTTGTTTAAAAATATTGATAATAAAAAAAATACTTTTACTGTATTTACTATATTTAAAAGAGCAAACATTTTGTATATGTAAACGACAGTATACATATTTATATGTATGTATGCAGTGGTAAAAGGAAAATATAAAGCCGTATGGAAAACCAAGTGTATAATCAAATATCATTTCATTCACACACGAGAAAATTAAATGTGTTTCTCGGAATTCAAAGCGAATTAATTACTAATCCGTAAGAATATGAAAAAAATAGAAAATACTGCGAAACATAAATATTTTACCTGGTTTTCTGGATGATAAAGTCGCTGATCCTGATGATGACCTCGGAAATCAATGTGTATATGTGTGATCGAAAAGTCAGTGAATCGCATAATCGTGAATAAATAGCACCATGAAATGTGATACCGTAATAATACGGCATCGACCCTCTCCTATCTACTTCAAATCCGTTTGAAGTTGTGTCGCGTCAAAAAACATTGTGTAATTTCCAAGAGATCAAAATAATTCACTAATGCATTTTACTGTATTTATTTTTTATCCCACATGCACAAAAGTGTCGATTTCAGATAACAGACGACAGGGAGTAAAAGTCATTCACTTGTTCGACTTGTATGAAAATGGCGGCCGTGTTCTTCCATGGGCAAGAAAATCAGCTGTTCCCATGCATTTTTCATGCGTTTTCATGCCCATGGGAGAAAACGGCCGCCATTTTCATACAAGTCGAACAAGTGAATGACTTTTACTCCCTGTCGTCTGTTATCTGAAATCGACACTTTTGTGCATTAGGAATAAAAAATAGCAACTCTTGTTGCTTCATATACTATTCTGCATTCATATCTCATTTTTCCCCCGTATAGTCAAAACAAGGGCATTTACGACGCGTCAAAATGCGTCAAAATTATCAAATCAAAATCTGCAAAGAGAAAAACAAAACAAAAACTCTTTTAGCATTTTATTACTTAAAAGATAATTAATTTTAATAAAAATAATACAATGTGACATATTTAAAATAGAATCTTAAAATAGAACCTAGAATGAAAATAGGAAATCTATTTAGGGGAAAGTTGGGCAAAATGGGGTACCTTTTTGAAAGTGGCTGTTTACAGAGAACCAAACGAATAAAACCGATTCAGCTAAATTTCAAAATTCTTCATGGTACACTTAGCTTTGAAGAAATTATGATAATAGCGAAAAAAAATTTTTTGAAAGAAATTATCGTATTTTCTGAGAAAGTGCTAAAATCCCATTTTGCCCCACCCGTGGGGCAAAATGGGGTGGCATCAAATAACTATACAAAACATTGAATATTTTTTTAAAATTCATTAAATGTCTCGAAACAAAAATATCGATTCTTCTGCAGGAAACCTTTAAATATGCAAAATATAATGTTTTTAAATAGTTTTAATGAAAAGTCGTAGCTTCCGGCATGCTCCACACTTAGGTACCCCATTCTGCCCCACACTGCATATTAAGGGGTTAAACCACTCTAGAGCGTCAAAAAGAGGTTCTAATTTCACCATTTTTTTTAAAGAAAAGTTTAAAAGTAATGAGAAATATGTTTACATATCTCTGTCAGGTACACTTTAAAGAGAAAAAAATATACTTTATAAATTTTTTTTTGTTTAAAAACTGCACATGTACATGTACGTGATGGAAACCCTTTGTAAAATGAATTCCTTCGCGGCCGGAAAGGTTTTTGGTACAATTTTCATCCTAGAACAGAAAACAAATTTTTTTCTATTTTTACATCTCAAAAGCTAGAGAAAGACGTAGGGGATTTTTTTTATGTTGCATATTTTTTTAGTTATAAACAATTTAGTGCCTATTTTTTCAGTCAAAAACTCAGTTTTTCCATAAAATGTTCACCATTTTTGCCAAAATCGATTTTAAAAAAATCCCCTACGTCTTTCTCTAGCTTTTGAGATGTAAAAATAGAAAAAAATTTGTTTTCTGTTCTAGAATGAAAATTGTACCAAAAACCTTTCCGGCCGCGAATGAATTCTTTTTACAAAGGTTTTCCATCACGTACATGTACATCTGCTGTTTTTAAACAAAAAAAATTTATAAAGTATATTTTTTTCTCTTTAAAGTGTACCTGATAGAGATATGTAAACATATTTTGTATTACTTTTAAACTTTTCTTTAAAAAAAATGTTGAAATTAGAACCTCTTTTTGACGCTCTATAGAGTGGTTTAACCCCTTAAAACAAAATGTAATGTTTCGAAGTTATTGTAAACAATTTAACAATCTATTCTATTGGAAATTACTCTAGAATAAGTGCTGAAATAAATTTTTTTTCAATTGAAAATCAAACGAAAAACGGAAATGTAATAAATACACTTCATTTTTGGCTTGATAACCATTCCAAACATTAAACAATCATAACATTGTCATTTTAGTGTAAATAAGCGGTAAAAAGAGACGGGACAACCTGTAAGCCGTAAACCCAGGCGAAAATTTCCCACTGGCAGGGTAACGCGCCTGTACAGACGTCGGTAAGACTGTACTGGCGGGCATGGATCCGCCTGACGACCGGAGCGGTGCAGACATTGTACTGGAACCTGACAATGTGTTATAGTGGCTGCGCCTGGCTCGGTACAGATTTGTTGCCGCCTAACAACCGGCGTTGTCCCGGCATTCGTCCGTCTGGCAACCAGGACGGGCCAAATTTTGTTCCGAAACATGACTTTCTACACGGAGAGAAATCTGCTGCTAATATTACTCGAAAGAGAACATTACTTAAATTGCTTAACGTTTCTCTTATATTTTTAGCATGGATTCATATACTTATTGTAAAAATACTTTCAATGCAATAAGCATAAGAGACAGTAGCTAATTTTGCACGAAATCTTTATTATAAATACAAAGAGAACGTGTTATAAAAGTATTAGATTCTTCTTATAAGAATCGCTCGAACTCCGACTGATTTTCAGGCGGACTTTATACAACACAATCTTACCTGTGTATACGCACATATAACTCACACACACATATATTTCTCTGGGCAGTTTTGTCGTCTGGTAAAACATTATATATTATATGTAGTATTTAATACTTGTTGCTGTTATAAAAAGATAATATTTATTTAATAGTAAGTATATTAGTTAAAAATTATTGCATTTTTATTCGTTTTTGAATGTATAAGCAACATGTGAAAATTGTTAGGTTATGTTATTGCAAACGTCACCGAGTTGTACGCGTTCCGTTCATACATTCCATGGTACGCGAACGTATGACGTCAGCACGGCAACGTTCGCGTTCATCCAATGTAGACTCTACTTTAAACCATCCAGAGAAATATATGTGTGTGTGTGAGTTATATGTGCGTACACGCAAGTAAGATTGTGTTGTATAAAGTCCGCCTGAAAATCAGTCGGAGTTCGAGCGATTCTTATAAGAAGAATCTAATACTTTTATAGCACGTTCTCTTTATATTTATAATAAAGATTTCGTGCAAAATTAGCAGCTGCTTTTTGTTTTTATTGCATCGAACTCTCCATTACATTAAATAGATGATTTCGTATATAAACTATTATAACCTCAAGCTAAAATTCTATTCAGCAGTGACTAATAAAGTTTGTAAAGATTCTGCAAGCAATAATAGCAACAGATTTCTCTCCGTGTACTGACATTCTACTGGCATTCGTCCGCCTAGCAAGCGACGCGGGCCAAATTATATTCTCTATTGAAAAATAAAATTAAAAAAAATATTTAATTAACTATGCATGGCGCATGTTAATTAACATTTATTTATAGATCGTTTGAAGCATTTTTTACACATTTTACATTTCTTTAACACATTAAAATTCTAAACGCTCGCAGTGGGATACGAAGCCCAAGCCTATCCTAATCTACGCACCGAAGTCTAATACGCTAACCACTACGCTATTCGCTCGCTTGCGGATGTGAGCATAACAACGCCAATATACAATACCGCTAAACAAAAACTTATATATAAAGTGAATAATAATTTTTACTCAAATATTTTTCAATATTTTAGCATTTTATTTATATTATGCAAATAAATTTAAAGTTTTATTATATTTTTATTTAATCTTCAATGTTTTTAATATTTATCTTTATTTTATTATTTATGAATAATTAGTTGAACACTTCCCTTTATAACTATTCGAAATCAATACAAAATTAACTAAAATAAACATTTGTAACTTAGTGCGTTTCATTTATACTTTATAAATGTTTTTAAAAAAGAGAAAAAGATGAATGTAATTAATTTGAAAGAAATATTAAATATTAATTAACATTCACCTTGCATAGTTAATTAAACATTTCTTTTATTTGAATTTTTAATAAAGAATATAATTTGGCCCGCGCTGGTTGCTAGACGGACGAATGCCAGTACAACGCCGGGTGTTTGGCGGGCTGAAACCTGCACCGAGCCGGACGCATTTTGCAATAGAATGACAGTGCGAATGTACTTTCGACTCTTTAAAAATTATTAATACAAAAAATGTTTAAAGCATGATGGATTAAATTTATTATTATTAATTTTTATTATAAAAAATAGCAAAACTTGTCAGATTTTAAAAGATATTTGTAGTAAGATTTTTAAAAGCGCATTTATAAAAAAAATTATCCAATATAAAAATAAAACTATAATTTGAAAACTAGTAACAATTACTATATTCTAAGCATATTCTTATTAATAAATTAATTAATTAATAATTTTTAATTCACTTATTTATTGATTTATTATCAATAAATAAACAAATAAGTAATATTAAATAAATCCAATCAAATTTATTTAATATTACCTATAATTTATTTATAATAAATCAATAAATAAGTAAGTAAATTAAATTAATTAATATATTAATAATAAGATAAATTATATAGTTCTCAGTCGGTAGAATGCCTGTACCGCTCGGGTCGTTAGACGGACGAATGCCAGTACAACGCCGGTTGCGAGGTGGTATAAATTTTGATCCGGCGGTCGGATCAAATCTTGTACCGCGCCTGTACTGCCGACAGTAGAAAGACTGTACCGAAAGTCGGATCCGACTTTGTACCGCGCCAGCAGAAATTCTCATCCGAATCGGTACAGACTGCCTGCACTGGCATTGACTCTCCAATTCAACCGGCGCGGGCGCTAGACGGTTGGACGATCCGATATTCGTCCGACTTTTCCGCCTGGGAAGTGAGTCAACCTGCAATTTTGAACTCTATTTTTAAGTCGATGAAAAAAAATATTAATTCATGATATTTTAAAAATTCCTTTTGGATTATCAAAATTGATTAAAAAAGCAACTCAGAAAAAAATTTTAACTTAAGTTATCTATAAAAATATTTCATTTGTTAGCACATGAAAAAGCCACAATTTTAATTTTTCAATTTTTCAACAAGTCAATTTTAGAATTTGTTTAACAAGAACATTTTTATTGATTCTTTTTGCTCCAAAAGAGCATAAAAAGTAATAACTAATCATTTTCCATCAATATCAGTCGCATTTTTAATTATGGCACTTCTACAATAAAAAATAACGCAAGTGAGACAACCTGC